GTTTCCAACTTTTACACTGATTTTCTACTGGTGTCAATCAGAACTGCAAGCCCGGATTTTCGAGTTAGTTCTTTTCTCACTAGAGAGCTTTCACTGTCGACTGCATATCCCAATACATCGTCACGGGCCTTGACAAGCGCACGAACACTATCTCTCGCACGTCAGGTGGACTTCCTCTATTTCGACCGACCTGCTCTATTCCTTATAGTCTTAGAGTTACAACAGCACCATATTGAGGCTCCCTTCATGGAGGACTCCCACGGGATTTCATTATGTCACAAAGCTGTTGGTCAGTTCTCTCTCTCTCGCTCGCTACACCTAGTGCAGCAAAGGATTTTATGAGGTCAAGTATAGGGCCGACCAGACCGCGCAGCAGGAAAATTTATATACAGTAGGCTTGCGCCTATAATAGTTGCATTAGTACACAGCAGAACGTACATTCATGCTCTTCATTGTCTTTTTTATTTTTCTCACAGGGGCATTGTCTCGGCTGTAGGGGTATCCAATATGGGGGGGAATATGCACATGGTCAACTACATGTGTTGGTGACAATACGGAAATTCTTGTTGGGAAATCCTGGTTGGTTTCTGTACATTTTTACCCTAGCTCATATATAAACTCCTATAATTAGTGAGGAATGCGAACACATATATTCCAACACTGGGGTTACCACTCGTCAACTTGTAGGAGGATTGAGCCGAATGGTCAGCCTCTATGTGATGCTGCATAACGATTTGTTGTAAGTGAGGTTGTCACTCTGGAAGGCCCAGAAGTGATGCAGGCGAGCATGGCCGTTGATGATCGTCTCGATGCTTTGGTTTTGCGTTGTCAATCTCTACTAGCATCACATAGTACTCGAGTAGTGGAATGGACCTATCGTCCTCTTCGATGTTCATCTCTACGGAGATGGTGGCCCATCACTGCCACAACATCGACTACACTGCAGTGAGCTCCATCCGGCGTAGCCTCTATCTATCGTGCCTATCAGTTGCATAGACGGCCCGCCCAGTGCCCTCCTAAAGCAGCCGCTCCTCAGCACGATGGTACCGAACCGTCACTCAACTACATGCTCAGTTTCATCACCGCTCAGAATCCGGCAAAGCAGCGCATCGCTACGCAAGGTTACGCAGCTCTAGTAGATCTTCATCACAGAAGGGCGCTTGGGAGGCCACTTCTGGTAGCGTCTTCGAGCTGGTCAGCCTCTTCTCGCATTGCATAGCGTTGGGTTCTCTCCTCTCAACTTCCTCACTGCTCAGATGCTGAGATCACCCGCACCGTCGAGTGCCTGCCTTCCTCCGTGGGCTGTGCTTCTCGTTACGCCCCCCTTCGTCGTCCACCTCTGTTGTTGGGCAGTCATCATAGGATCGGCGAGAGGCATCACAACAACACCAGTGAGCTGAATCAATCGTCCTTCCGACCATATATAGGAACTCTAGTTTCCTCCTTGGGAGCTCCGTCGGGTCTCGGCGACGATCTTCTCTCAAGTCGAAGCAGCTTCGTCACGGAGGATGAGAGCGTGAAGTGGCACATCGATGTATGTCGTCGAGGTGGATCGCATGGTAAACTCCTCTGTATTCAGGAGGATCCTTCCTACGATGCATCGTCTACATTTCACCAAGCCCAAGGAGCTTCCATGGAACACTGTGAGTCCTTCATCAACAATAACTCCCTATTCTTTGTAGACCGGTCTGGACACTGTACACTCTGGCTACGTCCAATGCCTCGTGTTGTTATCTCAGACGCCGCAGCAAGCCTCCTCTCGAGACCTCAACCGAGCAGCGATGAAGGAAATACAATCCCACCGATGAGTTCGCCTCGGCAATCACCGACTCCACCAGCTCCCACTAGAACACTAGAAGACTTAGTTCGCCTTGAGTCAGAGCGAGAAAGCTGTTCACCGTCAAACCTCGTAGGCCCACAGCCTGGGAGTGCGACCTGAACCTTGCCATAGATTGAGTTCGGTGACACCGTGGTTGTAGAAGCATCAGTAGAGAGAGCTCCTACGTCTACAGCAGTCAAAAACGCATCCAAGACAGCATCCATTCAAAGCAGCGCTGATGCGATCACCCAGGAACCCTCGGTCTCTTCAGAGCTGCCCATTAGCGATACACACGGACCACATCCCAGTACGTATGATTTCTCCTCGTTCCTTCCCCCACTAGGCAACAGGTTTACTCCCAGCGCCGGCGTCCGACAACGACGAGTTGACGGAATCGAGGGTGGACTTCCTCACGCGAGAAATGAGATCTCTCAGAGCTCAGGCAAGACCAAGGGGCTCCACGTCTGATATGTGCCCGGATATGTTCTAGGTTGAGCTCGTCCAGAACAGGCTTGCTGACGAAATGTCAAATCGGAGCACGCTGGAGTCTTCCGATTCAAGTGTAGAGACGCCTCCTCCAGAGATGAGCGATGAAAGTGTGTCGCTGGGAAAACTCACTCGGAGCCTGGCTCGCGCTGTGATAGGTATTCAATGCAGGCCGGTTCTGAGCAATGCAGCAACGGCTACTGAGGACCCAGTTATGGTTAGCCATAGTGTTATGACCGACTCGCGTCCTACTGTGGCATCCACAGGTGAGCTTATCCGTGATATGGACTCTTCGAAACTCAGCTAATCGTTGGCTTTCCCCTCAGAAGCACAAACAGATGGAGTGATCGATCCAACCGAAGAGCAGCGACGAGACAGCTTACTCGTGGAGGTGTGAAAGTTGGATTAGCATACTCGCATGCCCTTGGCAATTTCCCAGGGGGAATTCATTTAAGGAGGTTTGAAATTTGGATAAATATAGTTGGGTGTTTTTAGATTTTTTTCTCCGGAAAACTCCTCTGCTCGGTTTGACCCGTTGTATATCACTGTCTATTGAATAGGGCTCTCTCGTGAGATGCTATCACAGTACACTATACACATGAGATGCTATGCGTATATCACATAGCAGTGTATTTCAGGTTGAATCTTTGGAGCGTGACCGTGCTGCTTTACAAGAGGAAGTGAGCAAATTAGCGGTTGAATTGGCGAGGCAGCGGAAGCTCATTAAAACTCACAGTAGGTGTCTGAATCGTCTGTGGTGCAGTACATAACAATCGTGATTCCACAGGCACGACTCAGAGCATCACTGAAGCTCTGAGGCACAATGGTGAGGTCAGAGCCTATCACACGGCGAACATGAGGTTGCGGAAACAAGTCTTGGAAGTGAGCGACTGTGATAATATGCGGACATGCTTCTTCCAGCTCCGTAACGAGATGGACTCCCAAAGACAGATCGTCTGTGAGGCGGCATCTGTAGGTCTTAGGAACATCGAAGACCGCCTAATGGAGTGCCATGCTCTGGCCAATATAGACAGGTTACTTCGTCATCACGCTGGGCCGAAAGCACGCCGGTTATTCTCAGTTCCTCGGGGATCGGCTTTGCAGAGTTATTGACTGAGATTGACGCGTGTCGACGGAGGTGGTTTTCAAGCTGTTGTTGATACCACTCTCCCGACACTTCTCAGAGTTCACCGTGCTGCCCTCCAACCTACGGCCTCGTCTACACCCAAGAGCAGTAGCAGCGGAACGATCTATCCTAGCACGGCCCCCTTGCAGCGGCAATCGAGCACTTCATCAGGAAGCGCCGGATCGGCGTCAATCGATAGAGGTAGGAGCTCTGACCATGCATCCTGTACTCTGTCCGTAGGGATCCTTCGAGAATCAACAGAGTTGGCACAGACTCTCCTGGGCGACTTAGTTGACCTACGACGAATGCGCTCCCATACAGCAGCAGCCTCGCCTCACGGTGGAATAGGAGTGAAATCGTCTGGTGACGTCACTGATGTCACCATCTTCAATGAGTTGATTCACTCAGGGGAAACTAGCTCGAGTGATGCCAGCCCAGTAACTCCATTGGGTGGGTGAATTTGGCTTTACCATGATCTACTAAGATTTTCCATTGACTTTGCTCCGTGTTGAACAGCGGCTGTATCCTTTGCCCTTTTTTTATCTGCAAATTCGAGTGATTCGTGATTCGACTCACATCCTAATTCGAGATTGCTGAATCGAGTTCGGGATATTCGTGATTTCCGAGCAACATAATACAAAATCAATATCCGGAGTTAGGATCCTCGGCAGCTACCCCTGATTCTGAATCGCGATATCGACACCAGAAGGGCTGGACGGTGAACAACATCGAGGTTGACCCTGAGGGATTGTTGACATACGCTCGCTCAGCGAATGCTTCGTTTTTACAAAGTTACGGCTGGCACTTCCATATGCGCAACTCGATTTGTCTCAGCAACAGAAAATTATTCCCAAATTACTAAGATAGATAACACAAAAGGGATGCAAATAACGTCAAAGCTCTTCGTCAGATTGGGACATTGGACGGTACACTTGCGACCATTTGGCTGCAATGAAGTCTCCGAAGGACATCATGTAGCTGTCCTCCTCGGCTATCCATCTTGATGCGCCTCCCTCTTTCTGATCCGCCATGAGGCTGGTCCTGCATGAACAATGATCACGACGCCTTGGGGAGGTCTGTTGATACCTTTTGGCAGCGTCTGTTTCAAGGAGCCCCTCGAGGGTAGTGTTATAGTAGAGATAGTAGAAATGCACCAGAGATATTCTCTCCGGAGCTCCCTTCGGGGACATCACCTAGAGCAGTAGATAACAAGCAAGCAACACAAGGCGAGTCTACTCGATGAACCGGTGAGTGTAGTTTCCCACCACTCATGATCGAGGCGAAGTCTCCAACATTCACAACTATGCGGGATTGTCGATCGTTGGGTAGCGGGTGATACTCCCCCGTCTTGGGATCTTGCACCTTGAGCAAAATACTAGAAAAGTCTGTCATCTGTTATCAACCTGCCTCGAGCCCATCAACTCCTTCTTGCTGCAGCACAATCGTAATGAACCCCCAATCAGTATGAGGGGAACTTCCAATGGTCTTCTCGCCTGTTATAGGGAGATGACATAGTACTCGACAGGGAGGTCACCTGAGCGATCATCTCCCTCGACAGCAAAATATTGGAAAATCCTCTGTAAACTGATTGACGCACCATCTGGTCCACAATTATCTCTGAGTGCGTTCTGGCCTACACACAAAGAATGGTCGGAGCATGCACAAAGAGATGACCTCACCTAGCACGCTTGAGAAGGCTTCCGCAAGTGAGAGGCCGAGGCGTGTAGCATGACTGAACCACTCATTCAAGACGCGTTTATCTTCAGGCGAAGTCTCTGCCGGCCAAACATTGGGCCCTTGGAGTTTGTTGGTAAAAGATGTGTAGCCTTCAGGCCATTCGAAACCGTACGAGAAGGCTTCCTTGATCTCCTCCCGATCAGAGCCGCTCTCCCCACCGAGAGGTACGTAGCCGCGTGTCAAACCATGACCGGTAATAGACAAACGTCGCTTCTCTTCCATACCAACTTCGGTGAATAATCGTCGTGAACACGAAAGCACAGTGTCTATAAAGTCGTCATTCATACCATGGCCGTGGAGGATAAACGCACCGCCGCCAGATTCGGATGCAGCATGTAAGAGCTTTGTCGCAGCGGCCTCGCATTCATCACCTGGTTGATCGCCAAAGCAAGAGAGGTTAACTATTGGAGCCTCCCAGGCACGACCTTGTGAGCAGATTACAGCAACAACAAGCACCAGATGATGCATGAGTACCAAACTCCCGAACTGACTATGGGAGCGAACTCTGCTGAGACGAATTTCACGAGTTAGTACAATGTATTACGACGAGACGCTCTGGGATGGTGATAGCAGACGGAGCCTTCTATAGTGCTATCGATCGACTGCTCTCTGATACTGTGCAATTCCCTTCGAAGGAAACAGCGTTTCCATCAAACTCAAGACAACAGTTATGATATTCGAGTTCGATTTCAGATTTACGGATTCGAAAATCCAACCTTAGTTCGGGCTAGGCGAACTAAGTTTCTGTCTTTAAAAGCCCAGTTCGCTTTCACTACGATCAGTCCTGTCGAGTGGGGCCGCTATGCCACTACCCCCAAGATATGACTTGCCGTGCCCACAAATGACATTAGAGGATCAAGTTCGTCAGTACGGGCGAAGTAGATCAATTTTCGACCCGTTGTGGGGAATCAATTACGTCTGTCGCGGGGCAGATATGCCAATTCAAAACTGGTGTATATTCCCAGCGGCAAGCTGCCATTGAGAGCACGTCAGACTTCCTTCCATCTATGTTGGAGTCACGAAATGGCATATCTGCCCCTCGAGCGGAATCGGTCTTATCAACAGCGGGATTGGTTCTCACAATTTGTTACCATTCCTTCCCCGATTCCCGGCCCATTCTATGATCGCGAAACTCAAATCAAGATAGTCTTACCATGGGTTAAAATGAGATAAAAAAGTCAAAGGAGAGACAGGGGGAGGAGTAATACGAATAATGGATGAGACCAAGTTGTATGAGATTGAAGGTCACCGGCTATTGGCTTTTGACTCAACGGACGGGACCGAAAACAATGATTGAGTGACCATCAGGGTCAGTTATGTGGACCACTTCCTCGCCATATCTCAAGTCCATGCCGGCACCACACTCCTCCTTCAATCGGTCGAAGATATGCGCCTTCACCCTCACGCCGAATCCACGATACCCAAGTTGGTCGTTAGGGATCTCTTTGAAACGATCTATGCCATGCTTCACTTGCAGCTCTACAGATGTAAAGCTACGAGACCACAGCCACTCACGATTATCAACCGACCACGGATCGGCGTTGGGAGGCTTCTCGATGGTGTCGGCGAAGAAATGCAGGTCAAATGCATCGCTGACGTATTGGGAGGAGAGGAGGCTCATTCCCAAGACCTTCGTGTAGAAATCTTTGCTCCGCTCGGCGTTCGTCGCTCGGAGCGTTAATAGGCCTATGCCAGTCTGCTGTCCGAGCGGACTCCTGTCGTCTTTCAACGAAGCAGCGTACTCTTCACTGAAATTGCGTTCGAACTGATGCTGTATAAGCTCGATATTGTAGCCCGTAGGATCTTCCGTGTGAGCGAGATAACCTATGTCCTTGAACTGAATGGGGGTCGAGACAGGAACTCCCATGCTGAGTAGTCTTCGGTAAGCAAGCCTGACGTGTGGCAAATACAAAGAGATCTTCCAGTACAAGTCGTGATCGGAAGCAGAGTAGGTTGCAACAGGGTTATCATGGACCCGGAACTCGACGCCGGCAGAGTCCGGCTTCGAGGGATACCCCACGGTAGCCGAAGTGGGTGTTCGTTTTATCGTTTCCATACCAAGATAAGTTTCATACCACTGGATCGTTCTCTCCAATTCGGCAGCACGAACCATGAGGATGACGAATCGTACGGACATTTTTAGCTGTCAGACGATGAAAAATGCTGGGGGCGCGAGGGGTACACAGTAAAAGTAGGAGGTGCAGAATCGCACAATTAACATGCTCCCCGAGTTCGACTGTTGCTATCGGAGGAGGAACATTGCATAACCGTCGAAAGCCGCTTCTATCCAACAAGTCTGTCCCACGAGGCGATCTATTGATGGGATTTGGTGCTTGCATCTCAGCCACAGTGGAATCACACCATGACATGATGAGGTTCCTCGTTCTTCCACCCACTGGCGGCCTGATACGAGGGTATTCATTCAGACGTGCTTTATCCAATGGAATTGCGGAGCAAGCAGAGCATATACTACTGTAGTATATGCTTTACTCGCTCCGCATTTGTTGTATTACTACAACAAATGTCACTTCGCCTTGTGCATGCGTGCGGGAGCGCGTGCGTGCGTGGCGAATTATTTGGAAATAACTACAGCAATTCTGAATATGAGCGAACCATCAATAGATTCCTCCGCATTCATAGACGTGCAGGAAAATACGAAGAAAGACCATAGTTATTAGAAAAATCGAATTCAGTGTAACAATGGTACGCCAGTGGCGCGCGAGTCCTCAGCGATGGACGAGTGAGCTCCGCTGCTTCATTACGAATTCCTAGTCTGGTTAGATTTCGCGGAATGTCGCACTCAAGATCATACATTATAAGATAGGAAACGAATTCATTGCCATCGTAGATCGCATATCATTATTATGGATGCGGCACGAGGGACAGCATCAAGCCCTAGATCGAGATGCATCTTCAACAGCAGTATGGCTCATGTCCTCCTCCTCCTCTTCAAGTTTTTCCATAAATCTGTCCGGTCGCACTGTAACTGAAACCGATTCCTATATACTGTTTCTCCGTAGGCGAATCACGCACCACCGTGTAGTAGCAGATCCCAACCATAGAAGCTCGGCAGAACACCCTAAGGCGAGATCCATCTTGGCCCTCAGTGAAAACTACAGCGCATACCTTGAGCATAGCCCGGATGGTGAAGAACTCGGGCTCCGGCATCATGACGGTGATGGGCTCGCTGTGTCCTGACTGAGGAGGTTTGCACGCCTGCACACGACACCAGGAACCGCTTACCCTTTCCAGTGTCACCTCGCGGTAGTATCTCTCATGCAGACGAAAGTAGACACGGGCCTATCGAGAGGAGATCGACAGCTACACCAGGAGTCACCAGGAAGGTGACTCCAATGAGCATCCCGACCGAGGCTGGCTAATCCCACACCAAAGTCTTACATCACTTTGGTTGTAGTCACCGTTGAGGACTAGAGTGGGCCGGTCACAGGCTATGATATCTCCAACCTGCCCTGCATTCAAATGAAAGACGTATTTCGAGCTCCTGTCGTACGTACCTACGCAGAGTTGCTCTTCCCTTAGTTCGCCGCTAAAGGACCTACCCTTGCCGAGTAGTTGCCCTAGAGAGTTGCGTTCTCTCAGCATGAAAAGGATGCTCATCTTGCCCGGATGGATGATTCGCATCTCAGAATCTTCTCTGTGGACCATCGCCTGACACTTACCGACCTTTCCACAGCACCGGATTTCAGCAGATAAGTACATGGTGCGGTATGAATTGAAGCATTGCCTCCCGGTCGAACACGGGATAAACCTTCCCTTGGAGCGCGGCACAGTTCGGCGTGAACCTCCCGCCCTGTGTGAGATTCTCAGACGCTATGACGCTGCAGAAGCTTCGAGTAATCATCGAGATCAAACGAAAAGGGGAGTACGCATTCTGATCGATCTAAAAATGCAGTGACCATCCGCATAGCGCAGACCAAATTGTATTCAGTGTCCTGATACAGGTGGAATGATGCGAGTAGAAATCTAAGCGCAGGACGGGAGGGCGGGGCTCTTCTAAGGGCGGCCACCGCCTAACAACAACTCTATGGCTCCATCCGCTTAGGATGGTATTTGCTATGGACGATCCTATTCGAGAGTGGTCCGAGAATGCTGAAGACCGTTGATCGAAATCGATGTATACTCGCTAACGGCAATGCTACTACGGGAGGAGATTCAATAATACTCGGCGCCACAGCTTGCCCGTGGCCAACATGTGGGTAGTGCTCATTGGCAAAAGATTCAACGCTCCCAGATCGAACATCTCGGTCATCACTTGTCGTGTCCTACACCCATGCACTACAGTCTAAGCGCTAGATCCAACACAGAGAGTCAACCATGCATCGTGTTCTATCAAGGCAATACGTTACTGATAAAATGTATATTCCCCACGGGAAACTGATATAACCGCTGGCTGTGGAACTTATAGATACCTATGGCCTCTTCGAGAGCACAGTAGCACTCCCAGAAGAGACCACGATTCGCAACACAATCGACCAAGCTCGAG